TTTCTATTTCTAATGCATTCACTGTTCTAGGTTACATGCTAACTTCTTGTTTTTCTTCCTCGTCATTTTGTATGGTATAAGTCATACTTTATTGTTGAAGAGATGCTTGCTTGTTGCTTCAATTTTGGAACGGGTAAAATGTGCCTTACTTGTGAGAACAAAATTAGGCAAGTAGAGGTTTTGAATAACATGAGGAATGTATATTGGATCATAAGTGTCTAAACTTTTTTAATCACCAATTTGATACATCACAACTGTGTTTTTTGATGCATATGATTGAATCCTTACTTCTGAGTTTCATTGTATGTAAGTGTTAAAGGTTTGTGACTGCAACTGAACATATTGCCAAGTTAAATCGAATGAATTTGGACGAGTGAGATTTACTGAGAAAAATACATAATTTGAATGATAGTTTGATTGGATAAAACTTAGAAGAAGTGAAATTTCGTGCTCCTGGTGCATATATTTAATGGTGAAACTAAATTGTACTGTAGTCCACTCTGTATGATTCCTGCTATGTTACCTGGCTTTTAATTTGGTTCTCATGCGGATAAGTTTCACTTGCGTAAATTGACGTTTGATTTAGATTTCATTTGTAAATATTGCACTTGTGAAAGTTCACTCCCTTGTTCTCCAACTTCTGATGATTTTGTCTGGGACCTTTTTCTCTGCTTTTTGGTTGCAGAATGCCCCATATTTGTGCAAAAAAGATGGCATAACTCTGCAGTGCCCTCATGTAAGTTCAAAAGGTTATTACAATTACCAATTTTATTCCAGTCAAAAATAAAAATAAAAAAAATAAAAAAAAAATTACGAATTTTATTGTCTTTCTAGCTGATTATGTCTGATTAAAGTTTTGTTTTTAATCTAAGTAGGTAAAGGAGAGTCAATCACTTTGGGAGAATCCTTACTCAGCCACTACATCATGGAAACCTTGTGCTGAACGACGTGAGGGCATAATTTCAGGTATTTTGAAATAAAGGCTGATGAATACTACCCACTTTTGTTGGGGTGTATGTATTCAATTTCTGTAAGATTCAATTTTCAGACCTTGATTATGTTATAATTAAGCTGCATATGAATATCTTTTTTATTTTTCCTCTAACTTTTTATTTCCTTGCAGATCTTCCTGCAGAGAATGAAACTAACGGCTATATATTTATACATGCTGAGGGAGGTCTTAACCAACAAAGAATTGCGGTATGTGAACTTTGTGAAGAGACTCACAGTCACAGAATTTCATCTCGCTTAGTTAGTTAAAATTCATGCATAATTGACATGCAATGGAAGCTCATCACTGTCACTCGTATTTATTTTGCTTCTTGAGAAAGTGATAGTTCTGACCCTATGTTAGTAGTCCTCTATCTTGAAATCAAATTGCACGGGCTGTGACTATTTGATTTTGAAAGTTATTATAATAATTCTATTCTCTGCAGATATGCAATGCTGTTGCTGTGGCAAAGATCATGAATGCTACTCTTATTTTACCTGTGTTGAAGCAAGACCAGATATGGAAAGACCAAACGTGAGTGAAGTGGACTAGATCTACGCTATTCATATTTCATATTATTGAAAAAATAGCCTTTTGACTCCAACATCTGTTTCTTGTGGCCGGGGATACTTCTTTATGCTTTCTTCACGTTACTGCATAGTAAAAAGTTACTGCTAATACAGGTGCAAATCATTTTGCATTTCCATAAGTCATTCTCTAATAACCAATGGTTTAATAAACTATAGCTTACTATTACGTGATTTCAGTCACTTAGGAGCCTCTGTAGCCGAACCCTTATGTTTGGAAGATGGTTTTACAGTAACTAGTGTAATGTACACTTTATTACTGTGCGATGTGTGACGAATTGTATATTAGATTTGAAGTTCTTGATAATGGAAAGCTAATCTGCAGGAAGTTTGAAGACATATTTGATGTAGATCATTTTATTGACTACTTGAAAGATGATGTACGGATCGTGAGAGATATCCCTGAATGGTTCACAGATAAAACTGAGCTTTTCAGTAGCATAAGGTTTGACTCCTTCAACTGCTGCTGAATATATAGCATAATTATTTACATTTTTAATTCCTCATACAATTTATTCACAAAATTGTTGTTCAATTTGCTTGCGAATCCTCATTTTATAATTTATCATTAATCATGATAAGACGTACGGTCAAGAACATCCCCAAATATGCTCCGGCACAGTTCTATATCGACAACGTTTTGCCTCGTATCAAGGAAAAGAAGATAATGGCTCTAAAACCTTTTGTTGATCGACTGGGGTAAGTTGTCACCTTTTGCTCCCTGTAAAATTCAATCCATCGTCATAAAAGTACACTCTAAACCGATAACTCTACCTATCTTTGTTTCTCATAAGGTATGATAATGTCCCTCAAGAGATAAACCGGCTAAGGTGCAGAGTGAACTATCATGCTCTGAAGTTTCTTCCCGAAATAGAGAATATGGCTGATTTACTCGTATCTCGAATGAGAAACCGAACTGGAAGTTCAAATCCTTTCATGTGAGTGACAACAGA